GAAATATTGGCCTGTAGTTTTCTTTTCTTGTTGTGTTTACTGTTTTGGTATTAGAGTGATCCTGGTGTCATAGGAGTTTGGGAATGGTCCACCTGTTTCTACTTTTTTGAATGGCTTTAAGGATTGGCTGTAGATGTTTGAAAGTTTGACAGAATTCTGCTGTGAACCCATATGGTCCTGGATTTTTTTTTTTTTTTTTAGCTAGAAGGCTTTTTATTACTTTCCCAATCTCATTTGTTATGAGTCTGTTTAGGATAATGACTTATTGGTTTAATTATTGTAATTTGATTGAATCTAGATATTCACCCATTTCTTTTAGGTTTCCAACTAAATGGAGTACATATTCTTAAAAGCATTCCTTAAAATATCCTGAAATCCTTTGGTTTCTGATGTAATGCTTCTCGGTTCATTTCTGAGTCTGTTAATTTGGGTCTTCTCTCTCCTTTGGTTAGTTGAGATAAAGACCTGTCAATCTTTATCTTCTTAAAGAACCAGCTTTTACACGATTCTTCATGTTTTCATTGTTTTCATTACATTAATTTCTGTACTAGCTAGTTTTATGTCAATTTGACACAAGGTAAAGTCATCAGGGAGAAGGGAACCTCAATTGAGAAAAGACCTCCATAAGATTGGGCTGTAGACAAGTGGTAGGACGTTTTCTTAATGATCAATGAGGGAGGACCATTGTGGGTGGTGCCATCCCTAGGCTGATGATCTTGAGTTCTTTAAGAAAGCAGGCTGAGCAAGCCATAGGGAGCAAGCCAGTGTGCAGCACCCCTCTTTGCTGCATCATTTAATCATTTATTTGTGCTCTTTCTGATTCTTAAATAAAGGCACTTAGAGCTATAAATTTCCCTCACACAGGACTATTTTCAATATGTCCCAGTGATTTTGTTTTCATTTTCATTTAGTTTCAAGCTTTTTACCCCCTTTGTTTTCTTTCTTGACCCATTCATCATCCAGCAACGAGTTGCTTAAACTCCATGAGTTTGTGTATTTACTAGAGAGTTGCTTGCTGTCAATTTTCAGTTTTATTTCATTGTGGTCAGATAGGATACATGGAAGTATTTCAACCTTTTTTGTATTTGTAAAGATTTGTTTTGTGTCCTAGGATCTAGACTGTTTTAGGTAAGTTCCCAAGCACTGGTGAGTAGAATATGTATTGTTAATATTTGAATGGGATATTCTGTAGATAAGTTCATTTGATGTACATATGCTACCAATTAATCCTGATGTTTTTGGGTTTTTTGGTTCAGATGACCAGTCTATTGCATCAAGTGGGGTACTGAAATCACCTGCTTTAATGGTTTAATGTTAATCTGTGTCTTTATATCCATTGGTAGATTTTTTTTAATGAAATGGTGCACCCCAGAGTTTGGTGCATGCATGTTTTGAACAGTAACATATTCTTGGTTAACTATTTCCTCATTTAGAATAAAGTCTTCTGATTGGTTTTAGTTTGATGTCTATTTTGTCAGATATTAGGATAGTGATGCCTGCTTGCTTCCTGGCCCCATTTGATTGGAGTACTTTGTCTATCCATTTACTCTTAAGGCATTACTTATTTTTAAAGCTAAAATATTTTTTGTAGACAAGAGATAAATGGATTTTGTTTCTTGATTCATTCAGCTAGCCTGTATCTTTTGATCAGAAAATTGAGGCCACTGATACTTAAAAATATTATTGAAATGTGTGCACTGTGGTCATCCTGTTGATTTTATTATCGTTGGTATTTTGTTTGTAATTAATATTTCTTTTCAGTATGTTGGTTATATTCACCCCTCTCTTCAAAATGTTGCTTCCTGTATTTTCTTCAGGTTTGGTTTGTTGCACATAAAATTTTTTAGGCTATTTATAATTGTGGGAGTTTTCCTTTTTCTTCAGTTATGGCTGATAGTTGAGCTGGATATATTATCCTAGGTTGGCCATCTTGATCTTTTAGGATTTGGAAGGCACTGTTCAAGGTTCTTCTGGTTTTCAAAGTTTCCACTGAGAGATAACTGCTATTCTGGAAAATTTTCCTTTATATGTGACTTATTTTTTTCCATTGCAATTTTCAGTCTACTTTCTCTGTTCTGTATACTTAATGTTTTAATTATGATATGCTCTGGGGAATTTCTTTTCTGGTCTTGTCTGTTCAGTGTTCAGCATGCTTCTTTAATCTCTGTGGGTACGACTTTCCATAGTATGGTAATGTTTTTTTCTCTATGTTGTTGACTATCAGGTCTATGCCATTTGACTTCTCTTTTATTTATGCCGATAACTCAAGTCTTCCCATGGTGTCCCATACTTCCTGTATGTTCCTGTGTTTTAAAAATCGTATTTCTTGTTTATTTGGTTTGTACCCTTTACTATCTTCAAATCCTGTTATTCTATTTTCTCTTGATCCATTCTACTCATAATGTTCTAGTTGGGTTATTCAGTTTCATCTTCATTTCAGTTGAATCCTTTCCAATGCTCCTATCTCCTGACTGAATTCTGTTGTCAAGTCCTGGAAAGTCCTTGTCGTTTCCATCAGCCTATGTTTGTATTTTCTTGGGCATCACTCAGCTGTTCATCCTCCTTAATTTCATTGAGTTGTTTGTGACTTCTTAAAATTTCTTAAATTCATTAAAGTTTATGGTTGTTCTTTTGTTTCCAGGGTTCAAATAGGTAATTCTCACTGGCAAACACTTCTACATAGTAGTGTTTAGAGAGGAAATGCTGGACTTTATAATGTTTATATTATTTGCAATAATTTCTGGGCATGTGTACTTTGGTTAGTGCTAATATTGAGAGCAGGTTGGGGGAGAAGACAGCATGTTGGATGTGCAGGTGGGTTGGGCCTAGAAGTTGGAAATAGCTTACTTGGGATGGAATTAGATGGGCAGAGAGGATTGGTCTGGTGTATAGGATGTTGTACCAGTCCATGCGTGGAGTGTGCGGTAGATTTCATGGGTGTGCCAGCTTGATCCTCCAGTTTGCTTACAAAGTGGGGAGGCTCTGCACACCTCTTGAGCAAGTGTGGCGGCACCAGTCAAGGAGGAAAGGCAGAGACTGAGGCAGTAAAGGCCAGAGAGTGCAGGGACCAGAACTGCCTGGTACACATTTGGTCTACTGAAGACTTGATCTGGAATACAAAATAAATTGTCAACACAAATGGTCTTAGCTGGAATTGTGAACACCATGACTAAAACCTCTGTGCTCTGGCTAGAACTAAGAGGTGGTTTTATACAAAGCTTTTTAAAATTTTACTTATTTATTTTTAGGACAGTCTTACTATGTAGCCCTGGATGAATTGGAAATCATTGTGTAGATCAGGCTGGCCTCAAACCTGCATTGCATGTCTTTGCCTTCTTGGTGTTGGGATTAAAGATGTATACCACCATGTTCAGCTCCCAGCTTTTTAAAAAAATTTTAGATGGGAAACATGCAGAGGACTGAAAGTAGCTTAGTCCACAGTATGTATGTATGTATACACACATATATGTATACATATATACACATATATACATGTATACATACATATACACACACATAGTATATTCTCCATAATATAGTATATTACCCATCCTTATCTTGAATCTCTAAAAGTTCTGTCTCATAATTCTGAGGACTATTAAGTCTTCCATGCTGAAGAGAAAATAAGGTGAGTTTTTAGTAATTTGGTCATGGTTATACAGCTCGTATTTAGCAAAGCATCCAAAGACCAAGTAGTTTACAATATTACACTTTAAAATCTGTATTATTACTATTTGTGCTTGATGTGTGTGCAAGAGTGTGGGTACTGCATGACTTGGTGTACATGTGAAGGTCAGAGGACAACTTTTAGTAGGAGTTGTTCCTCTCCTGCTGTGGGTTGTCAAGCTTGTGTGGCAAGTGCGTCTACCCACTGAGCCACCTTGCTGGCCCATATTCTACTTCTAAAGTACAGCAACCTCAACACTCCAGTCAGATAAGCCTGTACAACACACACTTACATACACTACATGGAATGTTTCTGTCTCTGTGTATGAATGTAAATTTATGAGATCACATGATTGTGTAAAAAAAGGCTTACATTCCTAGTGTCTTGTAAGAGGCTTCATCCCAAACATCATGGAAATGTTATGGCTACCCTGAGTTGGGTGGCTGTCTAGCTTGGTTGTACAAACTGGATACAAACAGTAATGCTCACTATCTAAGTCTCTTAACCACTTACACAACTTCAGTTGATATGCTCAGCGGAATCTGAATAGTCTAATTTCCTTTTGAATTCTTTGTATGTACGCTTTCTCAGACTTTTATGCTAATGCCCGCAAGCAGCTATGGTCCATTCCTAATAGGTGATCATTCTAGAACTTTAAAGTTTTGTTGCACATCTCAACTCCCCTCGTAGTGTATGCAACACCTAAAGCCACAGAAAATAGCGAGTCTGGAATAGTGTTCATCAGATTGGCTTTAAATGCAAGGTTACAGTGTGGAAAGGTGCTCAGAGGACTCCAAGCTTCTGGAAGGACCATTCTTGGTGCTGTTTCTCTTACTGACTCTCCTTAAAAAAACACTCTAAGGTAGCAAAGTAATTGAATGTTAGCCCCTGAAGCTGAGCTTAATTAGTTGGAGATGAAGGATTATCTGGGCTTCATTCTTCTACCAACTGCCAGAGTTTAGCAGTGAGTTTCCTAATCTGTTGGCATCTGTAATTAAGTACACAATCCTCCTGGAGAAGCGGATTGCACGTAGTTTTGCTGGAGCTAGGAGAAACTAGTAAATTAGCCTGAAGTGATTGCTGGCAGCTGGGTCACATGCTACCATTTCTCTAATCTATGACCTTGGGATAAGACCTTTCTATTCTGAGTTTTTGGTGGTGGTTTTTTTTGTTTGTTTTTGTTTTTTTCTTTTTTTGGTCTGGTTATCTCAAACTTTATGAGCAAGAATTCATTCATTCAACAACACTCAGTACTTAGTACCAACCATGAGCAAACCCTGCTCTTGGATGTAAAAATACAGACAACACAGACAAATAAACCAAGAAATACCACTGTAGTTTCATATACTATTTATTTATTTATTAAGTTATTAATATGGACAGAATTATGCAACATTAGTCCACTTATTCAGCCCAGGAGAAAGACATTAAAGAGCTCATTCCTACAATAAGTGTAGCACAAGCGCTCACAATAGTTCCCTTATTTGAACATCACAGGGAAATTGTCAGTCGGGTTTTTACTTACATTAAGTAAATCCTTCTTGAATTGAAAAGTGTGAAAACCAAAGTCTGATTTAGATAATGCAGAGATACATGTATCTCCTGTTGGGGAGCAAAGAGCTGGTCCCCTCTTCAGCAGCCCCTCTCACTGCCCCCCAGTCCTGTAAAGGAGCCCACCCCCTTCTATTATCAGCAGGAGTCAGACTTGGGTGCGAGAAGGCAGGTCACAGGGAGTCCTGATTAATTTATAAAGATTGTGTGTCAAAGCTCTAAAGACTCACTTGGTGGTGGTTAGTGGCAGTGACGAGCACACTACATTTTTGCCAAGAAGGTTCCTTACATCGAGCCCTGGCTTGCAGCCGGTGAGATTACTGTGGTTCTCAGTGGGAAAGTGGAGGTGAGGGACTCTAACAGTGACCGCTAGGAGGCCATCTGCAGAACGTACCGGACTGGCTACTATGGCTTTTAAAACTGGCCTCCTTCTCCTTTAGTTTACATCTTCATGCTTCCTCTTATATCCACCTACAATTAGCACAGTATTTAAAAGGAGTATGAAAGATGAAACCCCTTGCTTTCAGCCTGAAAGATGAAAAACGGGGGCAAAGTCCGTTCTCCATCAAACAGGCTGTTCTCAACTTTTCTTAGTTGAAACACATGGCTATTAAGTTTTAGAAACACGTGTTAGACAATGCTAGTTAACTGATGGAAGTTTTGGATGTAACTGCACACAAACTGCATGTAAAATACAGGCGAGATCCAAAGGGGTCCAGGATGCCAGGGTTTCTCTAACCCCTTTGTTCCAATCACACTGAAAACCACGTTTCAGCGTTGGGGCCTCTGCATCACTGTCAGTTAAAGATGGAACGAGAAGCCCAAGGAAGTCCTGCCATGTTGTCTGACAAATTGCCTACACAGTTCAGAAAAAGGAAAAACCACAGGGAAAGAGTGAGTGCTGAATCTATCCAACTCTGGGCACAACGGGCCTGCCATTTGGAGAAGACTAACGAATGAGCAGCCATACAGCCGTTTCGATCACTGTGCTTCCCGAGTACCAAAAAATATGGTGCTATCATTACTGTTCGGGGTCATCTTTAAATAAGCTAGACAGATCCTGCTGCATTCTTCGTTTCTAATTTACCAGTACATTGTTATGTAGCTTACTGCATGTGAAGAGCAAGTTTACATCTTCATAGGGCTACAACATGCACATTCTACTTAATGTAGCTCAAGCATCAGGGATACAGGATAACAGTTATGGGTGGAGACTTGTTTGGACAGTCATGTTCACATTAACTATGGGTGGAGAAATCTTATTAGGCAGGTACCTAGAGAGTTCTTCGGTTGGTACTGGAACATTGCATGCATGCACAGGTGATGTAGTAGAGGGTGGCGCTGAAGCAGCCGCTGGATGGAGAACGGTGGGGTGGTCAGCTGGGGGGACGCCTTGTGCCAGGAGGGGCCGGTCTCAGCTTTCCACTGTAAGTCTCTGCTCTGTAAGAGAGGCCTGTTGGGCGACGCTTTTGTTCTCATGACTTCGAAGTTTGGATACAACATCTAGAAAGGCCAAATCCTGCACTTCCTTGTACAGGGATTCTGGAAGAGAAAAGTCAGGCAAAGCTCACGTTTCTGCTGCAAGGTTCTAACTGCACTACAGAATCTACCCCAAATATACACCTGACGATCTGACCAGACAGAGGGACAAAATGAGGAACAAATCAGGAAAGAGTCCAACAGGACCTAGCAAGGTCTTTTTTAGGAGTTCATTGCCATTTGTAAAGACTTAGGCTCTGCAGTCTAAAGGTGTTTAGGATAATAAGTTGTAATAAGACACAGGTCATTATGTAATCTCAACATTTAGTCACTTAAAAGTTAACTTAGTAACTACAACTTAACCCTACCAGCAGTTCAAACAAAAAGTTTAAATGCTTAAAAACCTGTTAAATTTGTGATACGTGAAGTTGTTACTTCATACACTTAGAATAAATTCTGAGAAACTCACCTCCTTTTTTAGATTTTTTTTTTCTAGCCTGTCTTTTCTGGCCTTTTAGGCTCATTTAGTGTTAACTGTAAGAAAGGACAGGACTCTCAGTATGACTGAGAACCTGCTACTGGGAAGAATGGGGTCCTATATGTTTAATATAATCAACACTCAGCAACTGGTGAGGTCTTCACATTTTTATTTTTTTTAATATGCATTTAAACCACAAGCTTATACCAGGAGATCTGATACACCCTATTCTGCCCTGGGGGAAAGTTCCCGTATTCTCTTAAAAATTAATGTCTACTGCTTGACTACATATGTAATATTCAAGAGAGGGTATATCCTGGTATCTAGTGACAGAGGAAATGCATACCAGATCCCATAAGAGCACAGATCAGGACCATGGAGTTGTATTTGATTTCCGGGGCACTTCTCTCGTCTGCTAGCAGTCGGTGGAGAATCTGTACAAGCTTAGCACTTTCAAGGTCTTTCTCAGCAGAACCTACAGTAGGAAACAAAGGATGTCATAGCCACTGTGGATGGCGGTAGTGTCACCAGGCTAAATATTGCTTCCCCTTCTGCACACAGAGGACTTCCCAGAAGGAAGCAGTGAAAATCTCTATGAAAAGACTAGGGTACAGGGAAGAAGAGAGCTGCTTAAACAAAAACTAAACAAAAAACCAAATAATCCAAAAAACAAAACCAAAACTTTTAGCTTCTTTTTCTATATTAAAAACCACTCTTGTTGCTTACTAACCTGTGCTTTAACCTCACTCTCATCAGAAAAATCAACATCAGAAAGGACAAGAGAAAGCAGAAAAAACAAGACAACAATACATTCAGACATACATAAAGAAAAAAGAAACACTACAAAAACTCCCAACAAGTCTAGGATACATTCAAGAAATCAAACCTAAGAACCCATAGCAGGAGGAACAGAGTCAGGCAATTTAACCAGAGAAAACCCTCTGTATGACACGCCACAGACAAGATGTCAAAAACACAAAGAAACAACATTAAAAGCTGTAAGGGGAAAAATTACCAAATACTGTGTATTTCATTAGCATCCTTAAAAACCAGGCAAGCATGGAACAACATAGTTCAAGCCCTGAAAGCAAATGACTAACACCAAAATTACTATATCCAAAAAAATTGTTTCTTAAAACTCATGGAGAAATAAGGACAGTTCAAGACAAACTCAAATTAAGGCAATTCATGCCAAGCAAGCCAGCACTGTGCAAGATTCTTAAGATTATAGAGAAAGAAGACAGCATCATTGTGAACATACAAGAAAGTAAACATTCCGTGAAAGGAAGAGATGAACAGAGAGCGAGGTGGGGTATCGATCACATCCAACAGAGAAAACTGTTAACACCAACGGAAGGAAGACAATCCAACCAACTGGGACATCACCTACCACTACCACAGGAAGCAGCAATCTCTTCTCAATGATACCGTTAAATGCAAATGATCTCAATCTGCCAATTAAAAGAAGCAGACTGAGTGGATTAAAAAAGGTGATCTGTCTGTTGTCTCTGAGGAACACAGGTAAGATGTACCACAGAGTCCAAGGATGCATCAATCTACTAAGCAAACAGCTGTAAGCAAGCTGGTATAACTGACCAGGGTTAGGATTAGTCCTCTGGGTGGTAAGAGAGCGAGGGGGAAGGGAGTCCTGGGTGGAGAGTTTCTCATGGCATGTCCTAAATAGTGCAGATGGTGTCTACTTCCCGCTTCTTCTTTCTTGAAGTGAGAATTAGTAGGCTTGCTTGCTCCAGGCATGTGCAGTTGGACACAGGCTGTGTACTAATCAGGCCTCCCTTTGTCTTTGAGTAAGCCAACTGGGAGGCTACCTAGGAAAAGTTTACCCTCTCCTGACAAAGATATTCAACCAAACAGAACCCCAACTTCCCCTGGAGAAATGTGGATTCCAGTCCTATCTCTCCCTCATAGGAGTCTGCTTTCTCTCTTACTTTCACTTTAAATAAGCCCAACTTTCTTTCCTGCCTTTTAATCCTTTGACTGGCAGAAAAAACAAACCCATCCATGCACTCAAGCTCCAAAACTAGCAAGGAGGAAAAATGGACCGCAGTTCATCAAGACAGATATCATCTGGGAACCAAATTTTGGGGCTTCAAATCCCAACAAACACACAAAGGCACAAATGATCGCACAGGTTCTGACACAGTCATACTCGGGGATCCCAACAGTCCACGTTCCTAGTAAGACGGCTCTGCCAAACCAGCAAAGAAGCCTCAAGCTAAATTACACAACAGACCAACTGGAGATTCCATCTAACCAATAAGGAATATGCACACATTTTCCTTAGTACGATATGGAATCTTCTAAATATGCTCATGTGATAGGTCACAAAACAAGCCTGAACAGAAGTTCCAAAAGCAAAAACAACAAAACAAAACAAAAAGTCTGAAATAGTTCCTTCTATCTTAGCAGGCTTCAGTAAAATTAGAAATCAATAGCAAGAGAAACATCAGAAACTACAGAAATAAAATTTAATAAAAAATCTACACTACACTATTAAATGAACAGTAGTCATTGAAGAAAACAAGGAAAACATGAAATTCCTAAAAATCTCATGAAAATAACAGTACCACCTCTTATCACGACATTTGGGACACAGTGAAGGTGTATTAAAATGAAAAGGTTATAACTATAAACACGCCCGTGCACACACGCACAATATTGGGACTTTAGTTGTAGCAAACCAAAGACACCAAACCCAACACCTGGAGAGGTTTAATAAATACTAGGGAAGAAGCTAGTGAAAAACACAAGAAGAAAAATGCACGTAATTAAAGAGTTGGCCCCCTAAATAAAACAATGCCCCCCCAACACAAGATGTTCAATAAACCCTTAGCCAGACTAAAGGCGAAGACCCAGATAAATAGGATTGGCGATGGAAGGGGGCTGTTACAACACAAGTCAATGAAACCCAAAAGATCCCTGGGGAAATCTGAAAACTTAGACTCCAAAAGCTGAAAGACCTAGACAAAACGGATTGACTTCTAACCCATGTGACTTACTGAATGAAGCTGTTCAACCCATAACAAGTAATGGGATTGAAACAAGTAATAAAGACACCGGCTGGTTCACTGTTGAATTCTACCCGGCTTCTAAGAAGACCTAATACCAGTACTTCTCAGACTAGGATAGCCTTGATACCCAAACTAGATAAAATGTAAGAAAAATATAGGCTAATTTCTCTGGTAAACATACAACCAGAATGCCTCAAAAAGTGTTTGCACGCTAAATCCTAGAATACGTTAAGGTGGTTGTGAACCATAGTTAATTTGGTTTCGTTTCAGGGTCGCAAGGCTTGTTCAACATATGAAAACCAATAAATACAGCATAGAAAAGGTTTTCAGGACATCATGATAGACAAAGAAAGACCATCTGAGACAGTTAAACATCCCTTCATGAAAAAAGTACTAAAGAAATTAGAAACAGAGAGACATACCAAAACATGCTATAGGCCAAATGCTAGAAGCATAGCTAAGTTATATACTAACTTTGGAAAAGAGTAGAGCTTTTCTGCTAAAATCTAGAACATGGTAAGGCTCACTCTCTCAACTCTTGTTTAATAAGAGCTCCAAGTCTTACAGCGGTAAGAGAAAGAGATAAAAGGTGACACAAACAGGAAAGGAAGAAGCCAAATTATCCGTATTTGCAAAAAAAACATGATTCTACATTTAAAAGACCCTATGGGCAGGGTGTGATGAAAAGCAGTTTTGGGTCTTAGCCAAAAGTTATGTGGCTCTGATACACCATCCCTGGCTACATTATCAGAGTCTGGTTCTATTTGTGTCTTGGTTTCTCAAAGAGAATTCTGCCCACATGGACGCTTATATACTACACAGCCACCGACAAGCAGAGATAGAAGCTAACAGTTTGATTTTGCTTTGTGGGAAATATTGAACACAGACATATAAAAGGCAGAGGTGAGAGTTTAGTTGAAGGAAGTACTGTAAAGTAATAGAAAAACATTTATAGAGGTTATTAAAGGGGAGAATTAGTAGAAACAGAGGGCATAGAAAGTCTGGGTCAATAAGACCACCCCATCCCCCTCTCTCCTCTGTCCTTCCCTCCCCCCTTCTTTTTCCTTCTTTGAGACAAGGTCTCAAATTGTAGGGTGCAAAGGGCCAAGGAAAAACACCCTGCCCAACTTGACCCAGGACCAGGGCTTGAAATCCCACCAATCCCTGAGTTTGCCCCAGAGTCAGGCTGCAGAATCCCACCAATCCCCGAGATCCCTGAGCATGAATACTACCAATCCTGAAGCTTGCCACAGAATCCGGCTACAAAACCCCTGCAATCCCAAACCATCCTCCCCACAAGAAACCCTATATAAACTCTGTACCCTGTTCAGTTTGCTGCTGCTTCCTGTTCTAGTAGAGGAAGCCACCCTCTTGGATTTTTTCCTCCCAATTTGTTGTGTGGTGTGACAGTCTAGTAGAACACAGCTATATAACAACTTCTGTCAGGGTCGATTGGAGCGGAGCTGTAACACTTCTGTACCACTATCCCCTAGCAGAGCAGAATTGTTACATTCCACAGGATCTGAACAGAGCTGTAACAACTTTGCTGGGGGACACCCCCCCACTGGGCACATTGTTACACTTGCATTGGGAAACCTCCCTGGAGCAGAGCTGTAAGCTGCTAAGTTTACGGATGACTTTATGGTGTTCCTTGGCTAGGACACCTTTCCATCCAAGCTGCAATGGTTACATAAACAAGGTGGGCCTTAAATTCACTATGTAGCAAAGATGATGTTGAACTTCTGATCTTCCTATCTAATACCTAGGGAATGTTGGGGACTTATAGATGGGTACCACCAGGCACATGGGGACTGAACTCGGGACACTGTTCATGCTAGGCAAGTACTCTGTCAACTGAGCTTTATACCTTAGTTTCACATTCTTCTTCCTGTGATATCCAAATTTCATTTCAATTATTATAAAGCCCACTGAAAATGTTTTATGTATCTTCTACGTAAAATATGACTTAAAATTTAAGCCCTAAAGTGCTGATCTAAAAATGTTACACAAAGCATAGCCACAGGAACCACCTGTGATAGCAACTTACATATGATTTCCATATGTTCAGATTTAAGTAGACACTAGCAAAATACTTCTACAGCCAAGGTTCTATTTGATTTCAATTCCATTCCTGTGCTTCCTTTCATCCAAGATAAAAATAGTAAAAGAAAAAAGTTTGCCAGCGAGGTACTTACCCAATTCCAAAGCTGCTATTAGTGCCAAAGCAACAAGAGCTTCATTCTGCATTATTACATGCTCACTAGTTGCCATGGTAACTAGATGCTTGATGCCACCAGTCTGTACAATGGTTTTAATTACATCCTACAATAAATAAATATCATAGAATTATAAACTTTAATTCTACACACAAAGAGATGGCATTACAATCAGTCAGCTCATTGTTGAGTGGTTACCTGACAATGTCCTGTACGAATCATTACATTTTAACCATATTTTTTTTTCTTCACAGAAAAGGAAAAGCTTTTAGCTTTAAATAAATTCATCAAAAATGACAACTTAAATGGCCTAAGAGAAAAAGACCATTGCATTTCTTATCAAGGAACAGAGAACTAGAAGCTCTCTAACTAACTGTAACTAGAAGCTACAGAAACTAAAATAAAAGTGCTATTTCCCCAAATGCATGTATATCAGGATCAACAGAAAACTAAAATTTGGAATTAAAAAAAGCTTTGCTTTAAAAATGTTTATGGTAGTGCCAGGCAGATAGTCTCTAGATACTCTGGACAAGGGTACTTTTTAAAAAAATAAAATAAAAAAAATTTTATCTTTTACCCTTTTGTTTGATTTGACAAATTTGAGAACATTAAATGTCAAAAGACTGAGAGCAGAAGAAATCGCCTTCCCCAGAGAAGAGCACACCAAAACCAGTCAGTCTTGAAACACACGCATACACACATATTAGTGATAAATGAGGACATGAATTTGAGGGACCAAGGGTACAGGGGCGGGTCTGGAGGGAAGAAAGAGAATAGAGAGACTGTACTTGCAAAAAATAAAAAAATAGTACATGAACACATAAAGACACAAACACACAGAATTTCAGCCACAATTATTCTGGTTCCCCTTTCTCAAACTCTAAGGGAGATGGGGCAGGCAGCTCTGGACTGGAGAAGTCCAAGTACCAACACTGACTTTGACAAAGCAAACTACTGAGTCTGTCTTTGTCAAATGATTTCATCTGTGACATGATTTATCTTTCATATGTTTTTGTAGTAACTATAAAGTTATGTAAAAATCTAATTATGACTACTTTTCTAATTCTCTAAATCATTTAAAATACAGTTTCTTTTGTTTCTATTTTATATAAAATTTTAAATCAACTATTAGTAGAAATACCATGGCTCTGAGCCCTGTGATAACATTCCACATTACAGTCACCTAAGAATTGCATTTCTATGGGTGGTTGTGCTCTAGCAGCTATTAAGTCTTTTTCCTTTAACCTCTTTTAAAATTTTATTTATTATTTATTGTGTTTGTGCATGTCAGTGTCAAGTGTGCTTAGAGAGGTCTCAGAGAACACCTCTTGGGAATTCTCTCCTGCCACCTTATGGGATCCTTAGATCTAACTTGTGGAATCAGGCCCGCCCATAAGACCCACTAATCCGCCTCACCTGCCCCAGAGAATCAATGGATACTTGAAGCCTTTTCTAACTTTCTAATTATTGCCTACTTGGTATAAAGTCCTTCACTGGAACTTTCATAGGAGCTTCCTGAGGAAAGACCAGAAAACATGAATACAAGCATGCAGTTCCCTGAGGAAGGCCTCTGGACTGGCATTTTGTCTTTTTCTTCTTTAAATGCTAAATCTTAAGACAGAATTCAGGACAGCTCTGAAAGGAATACAACGTTCCACATGTATGACCACACAGGTCAGGGCAAACATGCATGTACTCTGCTCTGTGCTGGGTGCCAGGGCACCAGCCAGTCACAGAACTGTCAGGTATAACATTAGTGGACAGCACTATGGGAACAGCTCAATATGTCCAAAGCATAAAACTTCATATTCAACTAGACAAGACAAATTGGAAAACAGAATAATGCTGCTCAACCTGAGAATCAATGAAATCCTCAGAGAATTTCATGGCTTCCTCCTAATCATCTTCTTGGTAGAGATGTCTTGGTTATTCCTGGGCCATATTTATCATGCAAATACTGAATACCTCAAATTCAAGCACATGACTGGAAGTTTCCCTAACAGGTAGACTCACAAACAAAAGGGGGGAGGATAAAGCTGCTCATAAACACCACATCAGATTCTGGTACATGGTCTTTGAAAGCAATTGAAGAAACGAAATGAGATGAACTACTAAACACTGCTACTTCATGTAATATCCACAATACATCTTCACTACTACAGGTAGCAGCTTAAGTATCATTTACAGATATTATCACAAGAGAGAAGCATAGGATGAAATGTCAACACCACTGACAGGTAGAACCACATCTCCTACTCATCCAAATCTTTGAAGACCAAAATCTACAAGAATTACAGCATCTCCCACTAACACAAGAAACAAGGTGCTCATTCTGGCTTTTGCTTCTTCACTACCAATGCCTATGGTCAACAGACAGGCTGCTTGTCCTTAGGAAATGGACACCAGCATTTATAGAGTCATGTCAAAAGAAGAAAAAAAAGTGCTAAAACCCCTTAGTAAATGGTTTGGGAACTCAGATTGTTCTGATGACCTGGGTTGAACTCTCAGACAGACAGGACTATCAAAGGGCTTTGGGATAATGGAGGGAGAATGCTCTTTGGTTCTAATAGCATCTACTGATAGTTAAGTGGACTGCTGTATGAACTAGGTATAAAATATGAGTTTTAGTCAATGAATATGGATTTGGAGTTGAAACCACCAGAAAAGGAAAGGATTCACAAGTGGAATCTACCGTTCTCTAAGGCCCAGCTGACTTTTGCACTGACACATCCTACCAAATGATCCATGATTGAAGCATTTGGTGAATTGTCTCTCTACAAATTCTGTCTATAGGGAGACTAAATCCAATATGAGCCAGCAACTGTGAGCCACACCTGAAAACCACATGGAATTAGACAAATACCAACCGCTAGGCCACTTGCAACAATGTAACAATAATAAGAAAGTTCTATTAGTACGTGTGCAGCCTTTGGCCACAGACTGCTTTCTTCTTACAGCAAAACAAACAAATCATAAAATCCACATGGAAGCAAAAAGGTTTGAAAAAGCAATGTTTAAACAAAGCTTGAAGTGTACCACATTACCCTTCACCTTTAAAATACACACTTCAGAGCTATAGCAACAAAATGTCAGGATAATGTAGATACAGAACAAGACATAATGTGTTGTAGGGAGGGGCCGCTTGTTTGTCCCAGCTGCCCAGCTAGCTTACACCCAAAATAATCACACAGAAATTGTATTAATTAAAACACTGCCTAGCCATTAGCTCTAACTTCTTATTGGCTAACTCTTACATATTAGTTTAATCCATCTCCGTTAATCTGTATATCACCATGTGGCAGTGGCTTACAGGAGATTCTAACTGGCGTCCATTCTAACTGGCGTCCATCTCAGACAGAGGATCCATGGCTTCTTATACTTTGCCCTTCTTCCTCCCAGCATTTAGTACTGTTTTCTCCACCTACCTAAGTTCCGCCCTATCAATTAGGCCAAGGCAGTTCCTTTATCCATTAACCAATAAACACACAAACAGAAGAAACTCCTACACCAACAATGCCCTCAAACAACCTCTGCCTTTACAAACAAGTGGTACTGAAAAAACAATATTCACAGGCAAAAGGTTAGGTGCAGAGGGCCATGGGGGTTCATAGCAGGGGACAGCCAGAGTTCAGGAGCCTGACCCCCCAGATGAGTGATTCCCTAAGGGGAGACCTGGAAAGGCCATGAGGTCACTGGCTGTAGATAACTCTTTGTCTGTAATTTCTTTCATGAGCCACTTCATTCTTCTCTAAAAACAGCTTTTGGTGTATTTCCACTGCCTGTGTGCTTATCTCATGAAAATATTTCATCTATCAGACACACACATAGCTGTGGGTGGTCAGGAAGATGATTTCTGCTTAAGTGTATAATTCTGATGAATAGAAATAATACTAGGATATTTTATATTACTCAGACAGACATAGGACTCTCAGTCATGAAGACAGCCTTTTACATAGGCAACTAATTTTAGAGTCCATGAATTCAAAGCAGGCTGGTTGCCCCGGAGATGAATATCTGTTTTCCCCTAGACAGAAATACATGAGGCCATTTCCCCAGGTGTTTTGCTGATTCAAGGTCAGAGCTTGAAGCATTAGTAGAAAGCTCCCTGCAGCAATGGGCTTTTCTGCAATACTCCCTAGCACTCAAGTCCAGCTAATTAATTGTTACTGTTAAGTCTTGAATTCCAGTGTTATCTTCTGCTGGTAACCCTAACCATTCAGGTTATGTGCATGGCCAACCATTACTGACTGGCCAGTCACTGTGACATCAGTAACCTAAAAGAAACTATGTGACTTATCTTGTGTTAGGAGAATGGGATGGACCCTGAAAATGCACCATATCCAGAGTTTGGCTGTGTGAGGAGCGATGATGATGTAGAGAGAGATGGCTGTGTAGAGCTAGGGAAGAGCTATGCAGAGAGTGAGTGTGTGTGTGTGTGTGTGTGTGTGTGTGTGCGCGCGCGCGCCCATGTCAGTGAGTGAAGGATAGAGTTGAGTGGGCAGAGAGAAGGCCTGAGAGATGAAGAGGCGTGAGAGAAGAGTAAGCGAGTGCATGAAAGAGTGAGTGATGTACAAGAAGGATGTGTGTGTGAGCGAGAGAGACAACTGTGAAGGAGCTGCTGCTACAGGGACCAGACAGTGGTGTGGACAGCAGACGAAGGGTGGAGAGGGAGAGAGAGAGAGATGTGGAGAGTTAATTAGGGAGAAGCTGATGAGCAGAGGAAGGAGAAGGTTTGTAGAACTAATTAGAAAGCTGTGAAGAGAGATTTTTCAGAGAGGATATTTTCAAGATGAGGTAAAGTTATCACTAGAAAGTGTGTGTGTGTCTCCTTATTTTGCCCCTCAGATAGAAAAGACAGAGAGGGGTGTGCTGAAAATTTTCTGAGAATATTCATGCCCAGTATGACTCCCTCAGAAAATTTCCTGACTATTTTGGAATGTTTTGATTTAGTGACTGGGACATTTTGGGAGCTACTTAGAACTGGATGTTTTTAAATTTCTATTTCTAGATTTGTGTGTATGCCATGATACGTGTGCAGGTGCCCACTGAGGGCAGAAGGTGTTAGAACACCCTGCAGCTAGAGTAGCAGGAGGTTTTGAGCCACCTACATGGATGCTGGGGACCAGCCTCAGGTCTGCTGGGGTAGCAGCAAGTGCTCTTCACCCTGTTCTCATTGGGCAAAGAAAGACTAAGGGTAGATACTCTAAAAAGTGTGGGCAAGCGGGTTAGAATACAGAAGCGAGGGAGCCTGAGCTGGTCTCCTGTGTGTTGTTTGGATGACTGGCATGCCCTATCTGGTACCAAGCCTCAAACTAACTGAAAAACTGCCTGCTTCTGTATCCCTAGCAGAGAGGCCAGCCAATCAGACTGCCTATGCCTTGCCAAGTCCTGTTTCCCGTCTTCACTGTTACCACCCACCTGGACCGAGATGTGAAAAAAACCTCTTGTTGGAACAACGAGATGATAATAGCAGTTAAAAAGCTCAACCACAAACGACATCATCTCTTATGTGCCTCTTGCTTTAAATTAAACTCTAAAGTGATTTTTATAAACAGACATGAAATAATGACACTTTGCTGGTTAAAACCCTTCAGGAAGTTTATACTTCTTCTGGGTATGGTGTCACGTGCTTCAAATCCCAGCCTTCTCAAGGCCGATCTGGGCAAGACAATGAAACACTGTCTAAAAGGTTAGGGATATAGCTCATTGGTAGAATATGTCCTAGTGTCCCCAGGCCTGATTTAATCCCAGTAGTATTGGAGGGAAGGGGGTGGCAGACCGACTTTTCTGGAGAATCCAACCCACATACTTGGCATATAATTCATCCTAATTCTACTACACCGTCTACGCTCTCCAACAGATCTGCAATTGCTGTTTGCATTTAAAACCACGCCTTTTGACACCTGGCTGTACATATCTACATGTCTTTGCTGACAAAGCCCTTCTCTACTTTCTCCCTCAGCTCCTACTACCAAAGCCTTACCTTTAAGTATGGTGCAATGAAATTAAATAAAAGCCTCAATCTTTACTTCCTGCAGGGAATGGGGAGTAGCATATTTATAGAAAATACATAAATATGTAAGTACACGGTGCAAAACCTACAATGCTGGCTTCCACAAGGACCACTCTAATGCTCGACAGTGTACGGCTTCCTCTGGAACTTACTTTTGATTTACTGTGTCGTATGAGGGCCGAGAGCAGTCGGTTTGACTCTCCCATCACACCAGCATGATCTTTGGCTTCACACCACTCCACCAAACGCTCCACCAATTTAGCATTCTTTCCCAGTTGTTCAGCAGCTTCTGCTATAGAAAACAAGGCAAACGAAAACCAGACTAAATCACTGATAGGCAATCAGCTGACAGGAGAGCAGGTGCAGGATGGAAAATTATAAGTCTAAAAAAAAAACCAGCGCAACCATTTTATAAAAGCAAGGGCTACAAATGCTCCCTGCCTGATGGGCTATTTAGCTTATTCAGTAACGCTACAGACTTTCACATAAACATAAAAACAAGGAACTTCACATTCCTGGTTAAGCCTAACAGTCAGTGTGCTGGCAGACTGTAACAAATGGGGTTCCAAAGGACTCCAAACAACCAAGACAAAGGATGAAGAATTAGAAAACATAGAAGAACAACAGAGTTCACTCCTAGAAGTGGTCTTTATTAATTTCTTCAAATAGAAAACTACAAAATAATTAAAAATGTTTGCCATTGCTGTACTAAAGCATGGTTTTCAAGATAGGCAAACATGGGTATGAAATATCTAAGGCAAAGTAGTAAGACATCAACATACAGAAACTTAATTAGGTGTTAATAATAATATATAACATGATTGTTACTCGAAATCATTTGGTATAAGAATTAAGTCTAAAATCAATTTCTTTTAAACTTTTGTTTTCGATTTACTTTTCAATTCCATAATTCTGACAGCTAGAAACTTAAGTCTCTTTTAAGCACATGTGCCAAGAATGAGGCTTGGAAACCATTTCTCTTACCTTGTGCATCTATCAACATTCTTAGCGTCCCCAGGAGTTTGAACTGAACCGGGGGCATTTCAGATTTAAGGAATTTCAAAACTGTCTCTGTGACCCCGGCTGATAACATCTTTGCTTTATTTACAACTAGAAAGAAAAAGAGACTATGTTTAAAATGGTGATAAACAGTTTCAATAAACATTGAATTCAACACACATCTAGCACTTCCTAGCTTTAAGACCCTGTTTTATATTTCTCTGCTTAGAAATGTGAAGAGTGAGGTGGTTGGGCATGCTGGTGTATGTCAGCAGTAAGGGCATGACATGGCGAGGCAGGAGGCTCAGGAGTTTGAGGTCCTCAGACACTATATGACAACGTTGAGACCAGCCTGGGAGACAATTTACCTCAACACCTACTGCCCATGGGGGGTGGGGGAGGACAAATAAACAGTAAGATTTGGTAGATGTACGTATCCTGCTTATGGGAATAACAAACAAAAATCATACTAGTTTTTAAAACCTAATTTTAAAGCACTGAGTTAGAAAATGTGTAAAGAAAACCTGAAAATGTTACATCTTACAAAGTACTCTTCAGTGTTTTTCTGTATCACTTACTAATATAAATGTGAGACACTATTAAATATTATCAATATGCTACACAAATCCAATACATATGGACTGGATCTTCTTGTTATTTTACTATTTTACTCTGTCAGAAATTTAATTTTAGGAAGTAGAATAAAAGAATTAATCTTAAAAATCACCAATGTCATTTTCTCTAAAAGTGTCATTCTACAGTTCAAAACTGTTAACACAAAGATTTACAAAAACTATCTATCTGCCCAAGGGATGAAAGAAAACAAAAAGGACCTCACTACCTGACGAAACTATTCTTTAGGGGACCTTGTTCACTGATCTTACTTACTCCACCTGAACATGCCTAAGAAACCATAGGCATGTGATATAATGAAAAGCCAAGAGCTCATAAAAGTTGATCAGTTCATTTAGTTATCTCAAGAGATCAGTTGTGTATTGTCTCAGAAAACAGACTTAATGTATAGTTTCCATTTCTCAGCTAGGAAAAGATGAGCAAACAAGGCTCTTCCTAGCCCCTCCCCCACCCTTGTGAAACCGTGTCTCACCATGTAGCCATGGCAGGCCTGGAACTCACTACTTCTATGAGACTGGCCACTAACAACCATTGTGCCCCTCAAGTGCGGGGATTAAAGGCATGTGCCCCAACAGCGGGCTCTCCCCCATTCGCTGACAGGGAGGTCCACACACCACGTGGCTGCTTTACCTTACCTGGAATGGCTAGATTCCTGAGGGCACTTAGTGCTGCGTGCTGCACAGTCACGTTGCCATCTTCCACATGTCTGTCCAGCAAGTCCATGAGCTTTTCTACAATTCCATTGTCTACCATATGAATACAGTTCCCATCTATACAAAACAAAGGCACAGTTCCTCCGTTATAAAAATGTGTTTAAGTTTCTTATAGCACTAAATCGTTTAAACTCTCCACCGATCTATATCAAAACCGAATACTCTGCCAGTCTCAGATAACTAAAGAGTTCTAAAGAGAAGGGAGGAGGAAATAAGTCAGCCATGATAGACTATAGGTTGAACTTCTGGAGCAAGACCTCAAAGTCTGGAATGTTCTAAAGTCTGAAAGTTTTGGTACAGACATGAATCTCTGTAACTGAATTGGTGTGATCAGCCAACAATTAGGATAGACTAAAAATATCATCTAAAATTATTCTTACACTATACACAAAGTGTAAAAGATAAACATGATAAATAAATATCATGTTTAGGTTTGGGTCTTCTGACCAAGATATTGCCTAATAAATATCCCCAAATCTGAGAAAATCCAAACTCTCCAACGCTTCAGGTCTGAAACATACTGAATTAAGGGACACTCAACCTGTGTTATATATGAATAGTTCACATTGGAGTAAAATTGAACTAGAAAAACTCCACATTTCCTAAACATAAGAGTTCTTAGATTAACTATCAAGGGTATCAGATTTACAAACTAAGAGGTCCAGTTCTGTTGAAATATTATTAAACTAAATACTGTACATCCATAGGATCATTCATATGTAAATTTCATGGGTTATAAGGGTATAATACAATAACTCAAGAATGAATATTCAGATTATTAAAGCCCAAATTGTAGCATGAATAATAAAAATTCAGAGACAAAAATTGGGGTTCAACCTGAAAACCAGAAAAGCAAGGCAGCCAAGCCACTAGAGAAGTCTTACCTCTGCCAAGGCTGAGCAACTATGGACTAAGCCTCTCTTTCCTCCATTTTATATTTCTTCTAGTGCTGGGATAAAAGATGTGACTCCCTAGGACTGGGATTAAAAGTGTGAGCCACCACCACCACCTGCATTTGTTTCTGTATTGATCTTGTGTAGGGTCATCTTGAACTCACAGAGATCCATCTGCTTCTGTCTCCCAAATTGTGGGATTAAAGGTGTGTGTCACCATTACCTGACCTGTAGTGGCTTTAGCTTTGCTTCTGGTCTTCAGGACAGATTATTAAAATACAAACAATATCCCACTGTACAAAATAACATGTCTGGGAAAGATACATATCCCCCCATCAGATAGATATGCTCACGTTCACTAAATCAGAAGTGCAAAGTATTCAAATCCAATACATGATCACTGATCTTTAAACTTCAGAATGCAGTTGACTATACAAAATGTGTCATTTGTTAGTAAAGTCACTACAAATATTTCAGACTTCTAAAAGATTAAGGAAACAACAAACAAATATTAACAGATTAACCAAGGGATCCACTAGGTTACACAGCAGAACAGCTGACATTTAGAAGGCCAACACTTATACATCTGATGGAGGTTAAATTCACAAAGGCAGGGCCCATGAAAATGAAAAACACTGCCTTCTGAATAGCTGGCTGTCTGTAAGTGCACATTCTCTTGTGTGATAACATGCTCCCCTCCTAACTCAGCTCTGGGACTCTTAAGCACTATGTTCCTCTCACGTCAGACAGAATTTTCCTGTGTTCTATTACGATGACTTTTTTCCCAAACTGTGTATTCTGGCAAATAAGACAGTCAAACCTTTTGTCCCACACTTAATTAAAATAACTCAGAAGCCTGTTCTCTATAATTAACTGACAGGATGAGTTGTCCAGACAGAAGTCCTCAGGGAGAGATCACAGGGGGCTTTCACAGAGCAGAACTGCAGGTGTCTGGCCTTGCTAGATCTAAGTCCTTCAAAGATTTATGATGAATTAGGGCGGCCCCTTGTTATATCAGAATCTTTCAAGAGATCAATAGCACCTAACTGACTAACCATGCCCAGATATTAATCACACTGAAGAAATGTAAAATAACGCCTGTATTCTTTGACTTTTCTTTAGATCTCTCAATGGTTTAGTTTTCTCCCTTTGTAACCTATAGTGGCCCCTTTAAGAGACAGTGGGAACCACCACATAGCTGCAGTTGTGGTTGTTTACAACTGGCTGATAAGTTTTGCTACATTTCTTTAGAGAATGCCTGAATCCCTGAGAATTTTCCTTGTATTTTTTATTACTAACAAGTCGCTAATGAGTTAATGAGTTAATAATATGCATATGCTTGGGGATCAGTAACAGCAGAAGAAATGAGATTGGGAAGAAATAAGATGGGAAGGGTAGAGATTCTGAAAGAAGAAAGAATGAAGGAAAATGAAAAAGAAGAAAAAAGAATGTAGAGTAATTAAAATAAGAATGAATTGTAACAGAGAATAGAAATTGGAATTAAAATTGAGACAGAATTAGAGCTAAGAAATTATAGACAGTTAGGACAAGAAAAGTAGAATTAAAGCAGAACAATCAAGAGGCAAGACTGGAGCTGTGAACGTGTGAGTCTTTTCTCAGATTAAAGATGTCCTAAGATCCCTTTCGCTATGCTGAGGCCACCTGACCGAACCCGGGGAGGAAATCAGCAGCTCTACACTCTGCTGGTTTTCGACAGGACTGTACACTTTTGGAATATGAGCCAGAAAAGCAGAAACTTAAAAATTCTGGAACACTTTATTACAAGGAATAACTAATATGCATACCATTCCTGGCAAAATTTGCAATTGCTAATGCCCCAGCAAGCTGCAGCTGGTGGTTATTCGACGGGATCCAGGAAAGGACCCTCTGGAACACACTGCCCTTCCCTCCTTCAAAAAGTTTCTGCATGGATTCATCTGGAGGGAAAGGAAACAGATAGTTAAATAAGGTGAACATAACTAGGAGTAACAAACCCATGTATGCTCCAAAGTGGATATCCACCTAGGAAACTAGACGCCTCACAAAATAATAAGTTCATAAGAGGAAAAATCTTGTAATAGGTTATTAGTAGAAATTAGACACTAAAAGTTATAAATTGTGTAGCTCGATTTCCAAGGTCCAGCCAGCTCTTAGTACTCTGGTATCATAACTGTCTCTTCCGTATGACAGGTCTTCAAACACTGGAAGACAGCCAAGACTTAACTTTTTCTTGAATTTATCTCTTGTTCTTTTCGCGGTGTATATAAGGTTTCAAAACAACCACAGCAACAGTAAGCGAGATAAAAAAAAAATAAGAAGATGCCAAGTGCCATGCTCACAAAAGGCACGACAGGTCTAAAAATATCTGGTGACCATGTTCTTTGATGGCAGACGTTAAAACTCACCTCCAAGAAGTAACAAAACCATTAGATCGGACGCCGTTTTCAGCTCAGCAATGTCGTCCTCTTTGTCACTACCCACCTTCTGCTGAACAATCTCTAGCAGACCCTCTGCCAACCCTGCTTCAACCAGCTGCAGTTTAATAGCATCTGAGGAGCAATGCAAACAGATCGTCAGTTTTGATGACACAGGGCCCTCGGTATACGTGACCTGTCACGGAGAATTTTAGCCAGCGCATTTTAAGTTAACGCACGACTTAGTTGTGATACAAAACAAAACACTTAACACTTTGAATACTTGGCTAAATCTCAGGATGAAGTACTTGATGGTCCAGCTTGATTACACAAAACTTAATTCACTTTTCTATTTAAAATTATCCTCTCAAATGTCTTACAGAGCCCAAGCACACCATGTCTCTTGTAGCTCTGACAATAACCAATATCACTGTTCATTTAGATATTGTGATTATGTAAAAGGCAGCAGTATATTACACACACGTCTACAATACACATATGTATTTGTTATGTGAAGTTAAAATATACCTATTACTGGTTTTGAATAAAAAGCTATCAAAATTATGGAACTATTAGAAAATCTGAACCTATACACAAGTAGACTTCGTTTGGTATTCGCATGGATGGAGTTTTTCTAGTGTGGTTTATGAGCTTCAAGTTTTCATGAATGTAAACTGTTTTTGGAATACAGGTACATGGTGGTTCCTTGCACTAAATTCTATTTCCTAATATATCTTTAAAATGTTTCTAATACAGTTAAAAGGAAAAAGAAAAGTTCTCTCATGGCTAATTGATAAAGTTTGTATTTCAGAAAGATTAATAATAGTTTCATTTCAAAAAACCTGACTGCAATGGTAACTTCACCTCCACACTGTCTTTTTATAGTGCTAATATCTTAGACTACTATAATACCACTGTGTTCTTGAGGACTTTATGTTTGTAACCTTATCTCTCTTCTCTTTGTAAGACATTTAAGTTTACATTTTAGTGTTTCAGCTGGATTTTGAGTTATTGGTTTCCACGGACGGTATGGGTGTCACACACAGCAATGGCAATTCCAGTTTGCCTTGTGGAAGAAGGAGCTTAAAATACACATATACTTAATGTTTGTTCTTTTAGGTAACTGCAGCATGGAAATTTTAAACTTTTTTTTATTATCACCAGGATTATTAATTTTAGTTTGAATATTTTTGAGTACACAAAAAACTTTTTTTTTAAATGCACCTGTATTGGGCCATACTTAAGGTAGGTTGTTTCCTTGGTTACAGAACATTAGGACTACATACACATGTGCAGAAACTATAATTGAAAACTATTATGAAAAAAAGTATTAGAAAAGTTACAGCCTTGAACCACACATATACAAAGTGACAATTACTCTGCTCCTATAGCAAAGGAAAGAGATCATAAACAGGATGCAAATAATTAATACAGAAACAAGTTTTCAAAGGTCTGTCCATCTGCCCCCTGCACAGCTATTCAACACAATTTAGGGGCATGAGAAAGCAAGCGGTAAAGGAAAATCCTGCCCCGTTGAACTCTGTAAGGAGGCACAGTGATTCTTTGGTAGAAGACTTGAAGATAAGGGTAACATTTGCATTGTGCAGAACCACCTAATGAGATGAAAAAGAAGCTTCTCTCTGAAGAGTGAGATGTAAGGCATTTAGGACATGTAAAATGTGCAGGATGAAGGTGACAGATCTTTCTTATAGTCTGACTGTAACCACAGATTTAATGATCTCAAATGGCCTTAGTGAAGAGCAGTCAGACATTATGGCAAAGTAGACCTAGCACATTTATCAACCCCATTTTACACAAGGACTATCCTTACCACTTCTTTATATGGTATGTGTGAATGTATAAGGTAGATCACATATGCATATATATTAAATAGCCTGCAGTACATCAAGTAAATAAAGGCAGGTTGTTTGGGTTCATGTTTTAGTCAGCCACACTGGGGTGGGGTACCATCACTAGGGAGCTTTTGCACAGTTAAGGCCCCCTTAGTTAATCGTCTTTGGACATACGCGCACGCGTGCGCGCACACACACACACAGACACACACACTCACACAGTATGCTTTAATCCTAGGAGCTTCTCAACCCAGATCAACCAATCTGGCAATCAAGATTCTCTATCATATAGCCTTTATTTAAAAGCCAGAGAAAAGCCATACATGCAGAAAAAACACACATAAACATAAGCAACTGTGAAAAAGACAATTACTCAGACCAATAAACTGCCTTCAATCTAAGACGTCCCTTCCTATATCTCTCATTCTGATCACAAGGCCTGCCCTTTGTATCTCTCACGCCAATGCCCTGGGTGTTACGATAAGTCACCTCCATACTTTATTATCTCACCAAAGAAATAACCATTCCTAAAAACGAGTTTAGTGTTGTCTTTTCTTATTACTATTTATGTGTGTGTGTTGGGGATCGAGCACGGGGCCTCATGCATTCCAGGCTACTGAGCTACATCAGCCCTGACTTACTTTTCATTTAACTTGATATAACTCAAATATGTCTTTCTCAGTTTTTGCATTTTACTTTAAAATAAAAAAGGGGTTACTTATTTTGTGTATGTGTGGCTAGGGGGACATGGGATAGAGAGGGGGAATGAACGCCCATGGAGAAACAGAGGAGAGCCTGCAGAAATTGATTCTCTACTTATGCTACGTGGCTTTGGGGACTGAACTAAGGTTTTCAGGCTTGGTATAAGGACTGCCTTCCCATATATTTTAAGATAATTTTTCTAGCTTTAAATCTCAAATTGAAGTCAGTACCTTATCTGAAATCTATTTTAAAAATATATGGGGAACTACGTGTAACAATACATGTCTTTAATAGCAGCATTCGAAAGGCAGAGACAGGTGTATCTCTGTGAGTTCGTGGACAGTCTGATCTACATAGTAAGTGCCAGGACATCCAGAGCTACATAATAGGAGAGCCTGTCAGAAAAGAAAAATAAAAAAAGCAATGGAAATGTCTTCTACTGTATTTCCCCCCATATTCGCAGTATTGTTTAGCAAGAAGTCTTTCTTTTCCTCTGTGGTATATCTTAAATTATGTGCACTTTTCCTTTCCTTTCAAGAGCCCTGTGACTCTCTGGTGGCCCTGGCTGCCTGCATGAACGTGGTGATCTTTGCAATTTCAGATCTTTTCCACCAGCACTCTGCACCGTCCCGTCCCAAAACATCTCCTCTCTTTTGGGGCTAAAAACAACAACAAAGGAAGATAAGTGAGCAACCTTCCCTTTTGTAACTCTCTCCTTCTCTTTAGCCTCCACCCAGGATTTCTCTTCTACCTGTGCTTCAGTTCACGGGCTCCCGAATTCCACTGTCTTGAACCTGCTTTAAAGCTGCCACCAAGTACTTAAGTTTGGTTGGAAATTTCAACTTGGAAATTTCAATGCTATTTTAAAATTGGCTGGGTTATATTATTATTTATAATTTTCATTCTGATCTTTTTCAAGCTTGCCTTTTCATCTCTCTGAACATAGTAAGCGAACAGCTTTAGTCTTCTCTGTGTGTGTGCATGTCTCTCTGAGTGTGGATGTTCATGGTGTACACATAGAGGCCAACAGACAAAATCAAGTGTTGGTTGTCATCTTTTGCTTTGTTTCAGACAGTCTCTCATTAATTGCCGGGCATATCAGGCTACTGCCTCCCATTTTGCTCCAGCAGTACTAGAGTTACAGATGAATGGGTTTATGTGGGTTCTAGGATTTGAACTTAGGTCCTCACACTTGTCTAGCAAGCACGATCAATCTAGCTCCCACGATCCTGGCTTTAAATCAATGGCTAATAATTGTAGTACCTGGAGGTTGGTGCTCTCTGTTTTGTGGGTTGCCTTGTTAATGTCTGACTCCTCTAAATATGTAGAAGACAAGGTATTTGAAAAATCACTTGTACAATGGGATTGTTTCCAGATTTGCTCCTATCTTTTTGGGTCTGTCTCTTAAGATATTTTTGCCCAAAGAAGGTGTGATTCACCAACATCCCTACTGTTGACAGGCCTAGAAATCCTAGCTCTTATTCTCTTGAGTCTTTACAGGGTTTGAAGTGGAGTTCAGTCTCTTACTTCATTTGTCTTCTTAAAAACTGTATGTCTCTGTGTGACAATGCATGCGGAGGCCAGAGGACAACACTGTGTGGCTCCCTAAGCCATTCCCCACCCTGTTTTCTGAGACAAGATCGCTCACTGAACTGGCCATCACCATCCAGGGATCCCCCCATTCCCATCTCTCCCCACTGCCACACTCGACTTTTACAGGGGTCCCAGGTCCTAATACTTGAGTGGCAAAGACCTTATCCATTGAGCCAGCTCTTCAGCCCTCATCTGTCTTCTATGGTAGAGCAGAACTAACTGCAGAAGCATCTGTGCTAAGACTTTAACATCAAACTTGGAAAGCAGCCTCTCTAAACTCAGATACAGTCATGGAATAGATAATAAAGCTATCTTTATCAAAGTTAGAGATACAAAAATAAAATATAACAACATGAATAGCCCAAAGACGAGCTCTCAGTTAAGACCCGGCATTAAAGAACCTGAGAAGCTCTACATGATCAAACATCAAAAGGTGGTTTTCCCTTACCGTTTTCTGCCAGAGGAGCTAGAACTTCAAAAATCATTTCTCTTTTATCATGTTCTATTTGTTTCTTGAAAAGTTTTACCAGCTCCTCAGCAATGTTTGTACTAGCAAACTGTTCTTTACTTGACTCTGAAAAATAAGAGAAAAACTTAGAGTAAGCAAACAAAATTAAACCCGGAAATTTCTTTTCTGTTACTGTTGACACTCAAGAACTTTGTACCATTAATGAACACAAATGCTCTCAGATACAGAAAACAATCAAACTGATTTCTAATGCCCCTGAAGAAGAAAGTGTCTCAAGCTTTAGAGAGGATGTTCTGACCCAGTTACATTTGTGGTCATAACAAATGTTCACTGGCGTAATATATAGGTAGCTATAGCAACGGTAAAATTACTGAGTTATAAATTCATCCTTTCAAGGCTTTCACGCAAAGAAGAAAATTGTTCATAACAAACTGTATTTTACATTGCTGAATAAAAGATGACATCATTGTATCTTGAGTATAACTTAATTGAAATGCTTTTGTGCTGGTTCTGACATGACCGCTGTATTTTTGTTGTTAGTTTTTGCAGTGTCAGAGATTAAACTGAAGGCTTTGTGTGTGTCCTCTATCACTGAGACACAAGCTCGCAGATACTATTTCAACGCCAGTTCATCCGTGTTCTTGAAGTCTCATCACATGTCTTCTTCAGCAGGTCTCAGCTCTCCTCTCTCGGAATTCACTCTCAGCCAGCACTGGGATGCCCCCATTTCTCACAGGGCAGCCCCTCTTCACCTGCCTTTCAATTTCATTTCTATAAGCAAGTTTCTTAAACACCTCCTCTGTTTACACTGTCTCCGCTCTTCTGACTTACACACAGCAGATGCATCCCTAAAGGCTTATTACTTCCACCTATGTGTGAGCATGCTTTTGGCAACTCCTTTCTCCTCAAAGGATAAAACGGAGTCAATGCAGAAACGCTCTTCTGCTTCTCAGTCCTGCAAATCCACAACACTGGCGAGGTCAGGATGGCCGCTTAACTTCCTTCCCACGAAGTCATATAGCGCCGCACGTTATTCAAGATGAAGCATTTACAAGATGTAGAAATACAACCACGAAAGGATTGAAACTGGTCCTGTGTGTGCTTGTACACTCCCGCCTATCAAGGATGGCCGTCTCTCCTTCCCTGGAACTCACTGTCCTTTAAGGTCAGGGGACACGAACCTCACCAGCCTCAGCTTTCTTTTCTCCACTTGTAAGCTTTCAAAGGAGGAGGACTTCCCAGTGCAGGACACCGTGGTAGAGCTTTTCTCTAGAGCACCACTGTCCTGCAGAGACAGCTAACGCTCATCTTTGTATTTTATTTGACCCGTCAGCTTCAAATTATTATCTATCTGTCACGAAATGAATGTAAAATATTGGCAAAACATCTAATGTTTCAAGCCGCCACCAGAGCCCATTGTGTATTTTATAGTTCAGCGCACTCTCAGTTCATAGTCTCCATATTTCCATGCTTGACAACCACATGTCGCTGGTGGCTACGCCGTGCTGGGCAGTCCTAGTAGTGTGGAGTAAAACTTGGAACTGATGGCAAGTGACAAGGTATCTGAACCATTGTTTATGTTTTCATACAAAAGATGACATCAGTATGAGATTCTAAAGTGACTTCTACAACTGGACAAAAACTCCTATGACCCACTTAGTTTAAAGAAAACTAATATTTCTAAACACTGGCTGAACGTTCTTCCCTTCTTAGTCTCACTTGAAAAAAATCTGTATGTTAATCAATTTAGCATGAAAAAGCAAAGTAAAGGAGAGAAGCACACTAGGACATGACCCACTACAGAATAATGACTTCTGAGCTAGGTGTGGCACACAACTTTAATCATTGCACTTAGGGGAGAGGCAAGTGGACCTCTTATGAATATGAGGCCAGCCTGGACTAAGTAGTGAGTTCTAGGGCAGTCAAGCTACAAAGTTAGACCCCGTCTGAGAAAAGAAAAAGAGAAAGACTTTAAAAATATTTCCAGGGCAGGTAAGATAGCCCAGTAGGTAAAACCATTTGCCACATAAAGCTGATGACCTGTGTTTGAAGCCTAGAACCCACAGTGGAGAAGAAAGACATGCCGAAGTTGACATCAGCTCTCCAGTCAGACGGACACATACACCCCGCTACTACTTTAAGCCTTGAGTCAACTGAAGCACTAAAAATTACAGTGTGCAAAGGGTACAGACTTTTAGGAAGACCAACAGTGAAGTACTGATGTCTTATGTTATATTATAAAATGGAAGATAAATAAGTATATTTATGCTTTAATTATTATATTACCTAGGAAAAATACCAGTGGTTCTCCTATATAAACATGGTTGTGGGGATGATTCTTCCCAAAAGTTGAAAGGGGAAGCAAGGGATAGAGAAGGAAATAATACAGGAAGTAGAAAACAAAACAAAACAAAAACAGAGGAGATGAAGGGCTGAGGCAATTGGTCTTTTTGTTATGACAAAGAAGTGTCTGCATTATTGGCTTTGTTCTGCCTGTCTTCATATTTTCAAAGGTTTCTCGAATTTTGCTCTAGAACACTCTTACAAACATATAGAACACACAGATGGCTCCGCAGGTAAAGGCACTTGAGGCCAAGCCTGGCAACTTGAGTTCAATTCCAGGGATCCACATGATACAAAGACCAAAGCAGCTCTTGCAAGTGACCCTCTGAACTCTACACTCACACTGTGGTACGTATATATGCACATACATACTCTCAAATATATATTTATATGAAAAACCCATCACTTTTAGGGATTCTGTAAAAAGATAATCACTTTAGTTTCCTAATGCTTTTAAGGTTATATAATCAAATAAGCTTATATTTAAAAAGGAATTATAATGTTTACTTTGTGTATGTGCTGGTGTGAGTAAAACCACAGGCCTCTTCTAGGTTTTACAAGCACACTACTTTTGAGCTATATACCCAAAGCTCCTAAAATTTAAATCCTAATATATAAAATAGAGAAGCAAAATAGTAGCAACTGTAAACAAATTAAAAAATAAATCAAATTCTATTTTTTTTATTAACATTGAAGAAAATACCTTGAATGCTTAAAAGAAAAACTGAAATCATTTACATGGACCCCAAGTTCATAAAGAAACAGCCACTGTAAGAACATTAATAAGTTAATGACACTTGTGGCCTGTGACGTAGACTTACCGAGTTCTGCTAAATTCCCGAAGGCAACAAGACACATTTCTGTAAGAGCAGCATTGTGGCAGTGGATGCCCAGTAGTTTCACTAAGGTTGGGATAACACCCATATTGATTAGCTGAGCTTGAAGGGAATCTGGTAAAACAGAAAGAGAAAAACACGGAAGAAGTGTTTATAGTATCAGATGTAATCAAACAGAAAACATCTGTTACGTTCTGTAACTCAGTTCTCTTTGAATTACAGCAAAGGCAAATGAAGTCCATTTGTTTCGTTTTGGTTGTGAGCCTAGACTTTACTGGCTGAACCATCTCCCCCGCCCAAGCACACTCATTTGACTGACTTGAATATTTTAATCACATTAGTTCAGAAGAGCTGAGATCTTTGAATCTTTTCAATAATTGTCAGAAATTTAGAAATAATTTTAAAAATGTATCAAAAACCATTATTCTTTTTCTTCTAAATGGGGTCTTTATATACCTTTAATATGTTTAATAATGATATAAACAATTAAACACCACTGGTTTTCAATGAAAGGGTTAGAAACATCATTTGGGTATCAGCAACTCATAGTATACATGGAAAGGCTAAAAGAACAGGAAGCTTAGGGATCAAGAAAGAAGAGAAGAATCTTAGAATTTTAAAAATACAGTTGCTTCATAATCAGAAAAAAAACCATCAAAAGTATGTCACAGAAAAGGAACTGGTTCTGAGCATTTGCAAGCAGAGTGTTCTGTGAGGATTGCTGGGAAGCAATGCGGTTTAACAAGGGAGGAAGAGTTCCCTACAGTAGCTTTTTATCAGTTCCACTTAACTAAGGCCATCTCAGCAGGACAGATGACTTGAGAGGTGAAGAGGACATCAACACTATCTTTGTTTACTTCCATTTTCTAACTAAGTAGCTTTAAGGTGCCAAACATGCCTTGTGTCCCCAGAATGTTTCTTCACAGACAGCGCTAATAAATCCTGTATCAAGGTGAAGGTAAATTAACCCAAATGAAAACCAGAAGTAGTATCTCTTAGAATAAGCTAAGAAGAATGACAAACATTCAGGCATTTACACAAAACACTGCTATCAATAATGGGTTCCTCTGAAGACAGGAATGCTCTTTCCAAGTTGGGTTCATTTTATTATTTTTATTTTTGGTTTGCTTTTCTACTTTAAAATGATATACTATTTAAAAGCTAATTATTCTCTCCAAATTCTTTAAAGTCATCTATCTGGGATGTAAAGATAAAGTTGTTTCCTACAAAATACATTTTCTTCACAGCACAAATCCCTTGATAGCTACCAATCCCTTCTTTATTGCTCTTCACAATTCTTTTGTTTGTTTGTTTGTTGGTTTTTCGAGACAGGGTTTCTCTGTAGCTTTGGAGCCTGTCCTGGAACTAGCTCTTGTCAACCATTCTTAACCTGTAGGTAAGGATGTGAGGGGTGGCTAAGGAGAGAGAACACAAAGGAAGGGCTGAGCTGTCGCAAAGGTCAGGTCATTACTTGCCTGGTGGTCTTTGTTGTTACTTCCTCGTGGCTTTTAGAATGAATTATGAAGAGATAGCCAAGGACTAATAGTTTCCCCTGAAAACTGAACATGTAATTATGGCTAATTATCTAGTTTGATTTTTGGGGCCTGTCTGTACTAGAAAGGAACCTATTATCCAAACAAGACAAGAAGATAAGCTTGAGAAAAAGGCAGGGCTATATTTACAGTTCAAACAACCCAATAATACATTTCAAAATTAGCAGTAGAATTATGAAGCTTATTCTAAATGAAGAAAAAGTATATTCAATGAAACAATTTGCTTTTATACTTTTAATGCAAAAACTTTCCTGAATATACAATGAAGCATTTAAAGGAATGGTTCTCAAGATTTTCAGGCAAAACACTTAGGTTATACAATGCAGTGCACTATGGTCTATGGGCTGAATACTTGCACTGTGAGTGTACTATGTACGACGATCATGCACCCAACACCTCTCCGAGTTGGACATAACTCTGGTTACTTACCAGGAGCGTTCTGCACAGGCAGAGGGAGCCAGCATAGCTCTGCTCTTTAGCAGTAAGAGCTACTCATTTTGACTATCTCGTCACATACTGCAGAACTGGTGAGCTCCAAATCTCAGGTACGTAAGCGTGAGCACTAGCGCATGCATTGAGTGAGTCACACTCTGCTCTGGGTGTGCTTACGGAAGCATCACACCCCCCCTCAGTACTGTCCGTCAGAGCTCTACAAATACCCAACAGGGCAGGGCCATCGGAGGAACATTCTACGAGGAAGGCGACTGAACAGGGTGATGCCGTTTACAAGATGAGGCTCTTCACATTCTAACTTGGCACCACAGTCATGTCCTTGGACTACTTAAAACACGTCATAAATTTAGGTTTCAGGGCACAGAAGAACAAAACCGTAAGAAACGCAGTGGAGCTTAGCATTTGAGATGCAGATGCACTAGTAACATGGGAATTACAGCGGATCACCAGGAAGAGTAGCACAGCCCAACAGCCAACTGTGTCAGTCACCTCGATTTGGGAGAACGGCTTCTTTCTGAAAGCATGTTTAAAAACTACTCAGGAGCCCAATTAATTATACGCTCACAGATAACACACATACCACACACAAGAGAAAATGTACAGTCATCCAATTGGACAGACTCATTTTGGACCAAATGGGTGAGTTCTTTTATATTTATTTTTCTGATGCTAACTGAAAGTAATCATCATACTGAACTCTAAAATTTGTTGACGATGCGTGTAAAATTTCCTTGGATATTGAAGACCCAGAGGAGAAAAAAACTGAAGAGAGATAAGCAGGCACTAACTTTCACTTTATGGAGAGAGGCATTCTAGAATACTGTTCTCTAATTGTTGAAACTCAGAAAAACTACCAAAGGAAAACCTGTTTAATAAAATACTAGGATTTTCCTTGTTTTTTTTTCCAATATGTTGACATGTGTGGTGATCATGTATGACGAATGGATAGTTAAAACACTGGTGCTCTGGCTGTACCCAGGCAGTGACATCAAGAGGTAACTACTGTATTCCTTATGGTAACAACAGTCACAGTAAAAATGCCATTTTTCTCAGCAACTTTACTTTTGAAAACACTTTGCATAGATTGTTCATGTTAACATATAATGAGCTTATCACTTTAAAATCTTATAGGAAACACTTAAAATTTTAATTTCTATCTCTATAAGCATTGTGAGTAATAACCTATACACACAATGAAAAAACTCTTGGAGATCTTTTATCTTTTTAGGTATCTGAAAGGGCTCAGAGGTCAAATGTTTAAGAGTCACTAGCTACCCAATTTTTATAAAAGTTGGGAGCGTGGGGGAAAATACCATGGAAAATATTCTGAATTTTAATGGAGTACTTAGCAGATGTAATAAGGATGGGGTGTCCCAGCAGCAATAATGTCTCATCTTTTTTATCTCAACAGGCTCTACTTGGGCCTAGCAGACTATTCCAGATCTAGTTTATTTCAGCTGTATCTATGTGTCTAACACTTGGGAAGCCTTTAATGAGGTGGGGATCTTATTTATGAGGGGGTATTCTTAGTCATGGAAGCAAATTAGTACATAACTGAAATTTTTTGATTGTCCAAAGAAAGCTTATGAATAATCTTCAACAGATAACAGCTGACATTCATGGTATTGTGAATCTGATCAAAAGCGAAACTTTTACAATTAAAGACCAGAGGGAAGGAACTCAAAGAACCACAAAGAATTCACGTTTTCTGAATACACCAAGGAGCACAAGGACAAGAGCAAGACTGTGACATTTGTATCCCTAAACAAACACCAGCAACTCTAGGTGAATCTGTATCAGAGCTTCTATAAACACGGAAACTCACACAATGCAACCCAGGCCCAGACACAGCAAACACGTATGTGTGAGACAGTGTTTAGACAACATGTCTGAAGACACACATGTCTGAAGACTTTCTACATCTGCTCCTGACACACGTCACAGACAAATGCTGACCAAAGTACAGATTCACACATCTACATTATATCAAGATGGCATAGGCCCTACATGATCTATGGGGAGGAAGAGAGAGAAAGGCACTGAGGGGGTGCAATACAGATGCATATACAAAGAGATAGAAGGCAATCAACGCATGCGCTGGTGTGAACACTTACCTACCTACATTTGAATCTCAATGGTTCCAAGTTCTTCAGGTCACATTCATGGAAACTCCAAAGAATGGAGATCTGGAGAGAAGATCTCAAGTTGAGGAACCTTTTTCCCCCTGAGTTTTAAGTTTAATGTTTAAAACATTGGTATAGACTATAGCTGCACAAAAGTATGTGGAAATGCCAATAACTCAGTTATATTAATCAATTACTAAAAATAAGTTCCTTACGTTTATAACATGTTTTAGCTTATTCCTAAGGTTTCTATAGACAATGCTAAAAGATTATTAGCCCTATTGGTAAGACTTAAAGATGAAATTTTATCAAAAGGAAATGTCCAACTAAAATACAGCCTATACATCAGTGTGGATACATGGTGTTTCTATTACTCACAGAATAAAGGTAGGATATCGCTACACCGAGGCTTGTATTCAAACCCCACGCTAAAGCAAACGAGCACCACACAACTTGTACAGGGCAAACCAGAAGGCAGAAGTCTTGCTGAACTGTTCTATTACAGACTGGTTAAAAAACCATCGGAGCCTAACAGCCTAACAAAAACCACCTGTGACTTAATGAAACACCCGCATCCCCCAAACCAGGATATGAATATTAAAAATTAGAAATGATTTTGATAATGTAGCATTTACGACTCGAAGCGGGTTTTAGCGCATTACCACTGAGATGAACGCTGATGCAAACACAGTTGCGGAGAGCGAGCGGTGTTAACGGGCTGCACAAAGGCAGCTGTGCAAGAAAAGGCTTCCCTCCGCTCCCCTCCGCTGTATGAACAGCGCCTGCCGCTGATTCCCGGGAACACACAGAAGTTTATCCTAAACCCAGTGCTGAGGGGATAAAGCCACAACTAAATATTCTAAAATAAACCTCAAATCCAGTACTTTAAGAGGTTTAAAAATCAAAACGCGCATATGTGTTTCATATCCAGAATGTCTCATTAATTCCCAGGTTATATATTTCAACGACACAGTCATTTCAATAA